GACTATAAAATCCTCTCTCGTGTCCTCAAGCAGCGTCTGGAAAGCGTGATGAGAACCCACCGTGTGCTCAGCGAGAGTCAAAAATGCTCCAACTCCAGCCGAAACATCTTTCAGGCCACGCTCGCCTTAAAGGATCGTATCGCACAGCTGGTCAAATGTAAACAACGGGGTCTGCTAGCATCTTTCGATCTCCGTCACGCTTTCGACTATGTGGATCGTGCATTTCTCTTTCGGAACATGTGCTCACTCGGGTTCGATCCGAACCTCATTCAGCTACTCAACAAAATCGGAGATTTGTCATCTTCTCGCCTGATGGTAAACGGTCATCTCTCGGATGCTTTCCCCATCGAGAGATCGGTTCGCCAGGGAGATCCACTCTCTATGCATTTATTTGCTCTCTATTTACACCCTCTGCTCAAGCGGCTCGAGGGTATATGTGGACCTGATCTCGTGGTTGCATATGCCGATGATGTGTCGGTGATCAGCACATGTGTGAGTAGAATGAACCAAATACGAGAGACATTTCAACGCTTCGAACGTGTCTCTGGTGCCAGGCTAAGTCTGGAGAAATCTACAACGATATCAGTAGGCTACACTGATACCATGCCACTCACAGTACCGTGGCTGCGGAATGAAAACACCGTTCGCATTCTAGGAGTGACGTTCGCAAATTCCATACGGTGCATGGGCAGGCTGAATTGGGATGCTCTCATCAGTAAATTCGCTCAGCAGATATATCTCCACTCGCTCCGTACGCTCACCCTCAACCAGAAAGTCACCCTTCTCAACACGTTCATCACCTCCAAAATATGGTATCTCGCATCCATTCTCACTCTGACTGCTGCTCACACTGCAAAGCTGACGGCGACGATGGGCACGTTCCTATGGAGAGGCATCACGGCGAGAGTTCCAATGCAACAGCTGGCGCGTAGCAGAGAAGCAGGTGGCTTAGAACTCCAGCTACCAGCCATGAAGTGCAAGGCGCTTCTCATTCATCGACATGTGAGTGATATCGGTTCCCTTCCTTTCTACAGGTCTATTCTTACCCAGACAAATCCTACCCTACCTGCAGACTGTCCTTGTATAAAACTCATTCTTTCAAGTCTCCCAACATTCCCTCCGCAAATCCAACAAAACCTCTCCGCCGATAGCATTCATAACCATTTCATAGGCCAAACTGAAGCACCGAAGGTAACTCGTGAGCATCCAACAGCGAACTGGCGCCAAATCTGGAAAAACATATCCATGCGAAAGCTGAACTCGAATGAACGGAGCGCCTTGTTTCTGTTGGTCAACGGAAAGCTTGAGCACCGAAAACTGATGTATCGAATGAACAGAGCCGATGGAGAAAACTGTCTGCACTGCAACGCTGCATGTGAAACATTGCAGCACAAGCTCAGCGAATGCGTAAGGGTAGAGCCAGCTTGGGGACTACTGAAGCGAAAGATAACAACTCTACTCAATGGATGGCGCCGACTCTCGATTGACGAACTCTTGAGGCCCCAATTAAGGAATATAGACACAAACAAAAAATGTAAATTACTCAAATTGTTCATTAAATATGTCACCTTTATTATGCAATGTAATAATGTAATCGACGTAACCGCATTAGAATTTGCTTTGGAAAACGAAGTTTGAATGATTGTACTGTAATTATTTTTTAACTTTCTGAATAAAACAAATTTTACTAGTAAAAAAAAAAAAAAAAAAAAAACACGTTCTGTTCAAAGAATCCACACTAGCTCGTATGGAGACCAGACAGCAGATGCATTATCAAGTATGGGCCGAACTAAAGAGCAATACAATGCCTACAAATCTTGTGCAATCTTCGAAATAAATTCCAGTTGACGATTTTCCTTAGAGATGATCGACGAATAGTGCAGATTAAAGTTCATCTTCGTGTCCAAAAGAACATCAAGATTAGTCATACGTTCTACTCTACGAAGCAAAACGTTATCGATGTGGTGGTCGTATCACCGACAAACCGACATGAAACTTAAACTTAACTCTTGATCGAGAATACATAGCGGCCAATTCAAATGTGCAGCGATCCCATCCGTCAAAACCATAGAAATGTTTTATCTAGATAAAAATAATTTGTCCGAAATATATATGACACGAACCAACTCATAAATTTTGTACGCGTGTTCGTGGCTAGGATAAATATTTTCCGCGAACATGGTGGCAGATGTCAGTTTTGTGCTTTGATCAGAAATTTCTATGTAATTTGTATGATCATTCATGTCGGTTTGTCAGTGGTCGTATATGACCGGATTCTAAGAGCAGTTGAATGTCATTACTGCACACTTTGTAATGCTGATGATGAGCTTATTGCGATGGCACTAATCCACAAACAAATCTAGCAGAGCTTGAAGACGATGACAATCCTCGATCGAGTGAACTATGACGTATAATTTAAACACCGACAAACCGACATGAAACTTAAACTTAACTCTTGATCGAGAATCCATAACGGCGGATTCAAATGTGTAGCGATCCCATCTGTCAAAACCATAGAAATTTGTTATCTAGATAAAAATAATTTGCCCGGAATATATTGGACACGAACCAACTCATACATTTTGTATGTGTGTTCGTGGCTAGGATACACATTTTTCGCGAACACGGCGGCAGATGTCAGTTTTGTGCTTTGATCAGAAATTTGATGGTACTTTGTATGGTCATTCATGTCGGTTTGTCGGTGATTTAAGGTCATCTGAATAAATGAGCTTGCATTTTACTCCCAACAATGCTGCTACATGGTTGAAGAATAACGTAAACAAAAGTGGACCCAGGTCACTTCCCTGAAGTACACCAGAGGTGCTGGTAAACGTAGAAGAGACACGAGATCCTAGTCGTACTCGAAGAGTTCGTCTTGTCAAGTACGAATGTACTCCTAGTCGAGAAAGCTTACATAACAATACCTTCTGGTCGATCTTATCGATCTAATCGTCGACTTCTGCCTTATCTTCCATATACTGGTGAAATCCAAAAGGTTAGTAGCCTACCAGGAATGAAGCCATGCTCCATGTAGTTTTGCGAGCGATTCGAGACAAATTCGCTCAAGATAAGCTCAAACAGTTTGGACGCTGCCGAAAGACTGGACCTCGATAGTTCTTGATATCTCGTTTATTGTCAGTTTTGAAAACAGGAAACATAGGGGAAATGGATGTAATGTTGGCCTAGATGCCCCTAATTTGGGCCCATACATTAATTCAGAAATCGACTAAATTTTAAATAGCGACCAAAAATATCCATTAGTACCGTCCCAATGACGCGTTCATCTAGATATAATTGATAAATAGAAGTTTTTTAGCGATGGGCCTAATCTTAGATCCATAGGCCAAAATTAGAGCCATTTCCCCTATATGACTGCTTCCACAATGCGGGGAATTTTCCTTGCTCAAAATATGGCTGCTATAGGTTTTGCTCAGGCAGCTGAGCAACGGCAGAACACCACTGCCGGAATTCCATCTGGACCCGGAGAGAGTGACGTTTTCAGTCTCCTTGCTGCTGAATGTACCATATCCCGTAAGAGGAAGAGGAGACAATACGGGTGCGAAAAAAAAACACTTTTTTGTCAAACGCGAATATATATAGAGATAGAGATAGAGATAAAAAAGTAAGAACTCAGTTGTCTCCTCTTCCTCTTAGCATATTCCGAGTTACTTCGAACTCTTCGAACGTGCCCAGTTCCACTAGTCAGTAGGCGTATCAGAGGCAGCAGATTCAGCTTCAACGTCACATGTCATATTTTTATCGAAGATAGAAGTAAAGTGTTTCGCAAACATCTCACACGCTTCACTAGAAGAAGTCCCATCGAGAAGCGTGTTGAATGGTATAATTGAATCTTTCTTTTGCTGTTGACGAAGCTCCACAAATTTCTGGGGTTACGCCGCAAATTCCGCTAGACTCTGAGGACGTGTGATTTATACAAGGCACTGTTAAGTTTACTGTCAGCGGTATTGGCACGCTTGAAATCACAAAATTTTACAAGGCGAAGACTCGAGGAGGTGTCCCTGGCAGATTCAAATTTGTTTTTGCCGATGTATAATCTGATATATGATAAATTCGCAAGCAAATATATGATCTGGCAGGGAATTTGCAGCTGCGGCCATAAGACTAAGGTTTTCGTCACTGAGAAAATAATGAGCTCGAAGGTTTACAAAACCGAATTTCTCCAGAAGCGAATTCTGCCCTTCATCCAGTCACCTGATGGTCCGGTGACATTTTGGCCTGATCTTGTGAATTGTAACTACAACAATGGTACAATGCAACGGACTCCAGTTTGTTCCGAAAACCCTCAGTCCACCCAATTATCCGCAGTTCAGGCCCATTGAAAACCACTGGGCAATTATGAAGAGGAAACTGAAGGTAATAGGTAGAGTCATAAAAACGGCAGCTCAGATGAAAAATTGGTTGGATAAAATCGCCAAAACAGTGGACGAGACCGATGTACGTTGCTTGATGGGTCGTATTAAGGAAAAAGTTCGAGAATTCCTTAGAAACCGCGACAAATAATATGTTTCGTATTTTGTTTTAATATAAGGAATAGTACGCATTAGAGGAATAGAGTGAAAACTGTTTTCAAATTACTTAAATTCAAATCCGAAATAGACCCAAATGATGTTTTTCCAGTACTAAGTAGGCCTTGCTTTATTTTAGATTTTATGTGGAGTTATGAAATCGCTAGTCGCGCTGAACTAAGTTCATGGATTTGAGATTAGTTTCATGAAAATTCGATTTACTCGCTCACGTTTTTCGAAACTATGTCGTGAATTAAAATGAACTAGCAGCTCAGCTTATCGCGATTTTTTGTTCCGGAATGGTATTTTACATGTAAAGAGAACTTCTTGGATATACAAGACAATTTCATAATCACCACGATTTCAGTCACACATACAAAACTTCAAGATTTTACTGAATTTATGTGTTAATGGAAGCTTCTAAATAAAAATATCATTACCGGTTTAAAATATAAAAGTTATGTTTATTATGTCGACAAACACACTCGATTTACAGGGAATGCATTCATAATTGCAGTATCTTAAAGTACGGTATCAAATACACAAATCTTCCTATCTTCAATCACACTGTTAACTTATAATTTGCTCTTCATCACTGAGCTGCGCATGGTACGTTTCATGAATAACCGTGTGACGGTGGCGGCACCCAGCCGCCATACTTTCGTTCCAACTCCTGTGCCACTGCGAAAATCAAATGATCCTGACCGGGACTAGCAATGATCTATAGGAGAAAGAACAATCGTTTATCATAATCCAAAAAAATAAACTTCAGCTGCGATCTCACCTGTACTCCAATGGGAAGCTTGTTCCGGTCTAGCCCCACCATACAAGACGCGGCAGGTAAACCCAGAGTGTTGAACACCATCATGTAGCTCGTGTCGACCAGTTTATGGAAGATTTCAAAATGTCGATGAGCCGTATTCGGGAACACTGGGTAAATAAAGACGCCGTCCTTACCAAGCAGATCTAGGAAATCTTTTCGCAGCAGCTCGGTCTGCTCGTCCAGGAATGCTAACCTCGAGCTGGGTATGTAGTTCTGGACAATATGCTGCATGGGGCCGATCACCACCGATGGAAGATCGGAGTCGGAACAACCGCAGAAGTATTTGAGCAACTCCTTACCGATAGTGGTATTCGGTTGACCATCCCTCTGCTGGGTGTAGATCGTTTCTATGTTCTTCATTCGAAGCATTTTGCAGATGGAAATGTCCAGGGCCCAGATCAGGCGTTTCAATGAAACTTTCTCGGCGTTGAAGTGGTTAACGATGTTCATAATAGCATCCTGGATGTCCGGTTGAATGGGTTCCGTCAGTCCGGTTGGTCCGTCGTTTTCCATGTAGTAGTAGTTTATTTCGGTAAGATTTACTGACGTATCAAGCATGAGGGGAGCCCCCAAGGGGTCTTGCATAGCCTTAAGTAGTAGTGGGAGATCTTCAGCGTAGCGGCACATTGCACCAGGTGTGAAGAAATTTCCCCATGATTCGTCTTCGCAGGAGGGATTGTGACCATATGGCGACACACTGAATGGGGACGGTTTGTGACCAAACACTCCGACGAAGGCGGCAGGAAGCCGGGACGAGCCAGCGATGTCTGTCGTTACGCCTATGAGGGATGCAGCAGAGCTGATTAAGGCTGCTTCTCCACCCGAGGATCCACCCACAGTTCGTTTGGGGTTGTAAGGGTTCTTGGTTAGTCCCGTGCATTTGTTGTACGTTTCCCAGCATAGACACAGCTCGGGAGTGTTACTTACAAGCAAAATGACTCCACCGCTCTTCTTGATTTGCTCCACCACAGGGGAATCATGTTGAGCGATGTGTTTCTTCTTCAGTTTCCTACCCCCCGTATTGCTCATGCCTTTAACAGCCAAGCTCTCCTTGATGGTGATCGGTACTCCTAGGATAGGAGTCTCCTTCATCATTTGCTCTTCAGTTCTCAAACCTTTAGCCACTTCTTCATCAATTCGCCTAGCATCCTCCAGTGCGTGCTCAAAGCGGTCCTCAACGATGGCATTCAGGATCGGATTGACCTGCCGGCAGCGTTCGATGTAGGCACTGACAACGTCTTCGCTTTTGATCTGTCCCGTTCGGATCTTCGCCGCTAGCGTGACAGCCGGTATCTGCAGCAATGGGTTCTCGACCGGTGGTAATCGCTTGGAACTTATCCGTGCACTAACCAAATACGAGTACGGTACCACGAACCAACTGAACAGGTACATCGCCCCGCGAAGCAGCCTTCGTATGGCCCAGCTCATTCTTCTGTAAGTGGAGGGAAGGAAAGAGAATGCAATCGATTAGAACGAAATGTGCGAGGAAATTTGAATTGGACGAGTGGCTGATCTTCGATATGTGAATACGGTACTGTAATGAGGCAAAATGTTCAATCCCTACCACGCGAACCATGAGAGCTATCAATTATAGCTCAACAAACGTATCAGATTCGCAATTGTAATAATTATCACCGCGTGTGTAGAACAGCGCTTCAACAAGTTGAAAGCGTAAAAACCCTCACCGAGACATGGCTTGTGTTCGATTAGGTTTGCTCATTGTCAAACAACAGCGGTGGAAAGCTTTCAATAGCGTGTACCTTGATCAAATATTGGTTCAAAGGTTAGTTGTTGACTAGCTTCGGCTCTTACAGGCGGAACGTTTGTCGATTGATCACGTTTTTGATCACTTTATCTGTATACACTGGAGTCGCTTTTTACGCGGGTGATACGTCCCGCGTAAAAAAAAACCGCGTAAAAAAAAAACCGCGTAAATTCCGGAATCCGCGTAAAAAAAAACCGCGTAAATTCCGAAATCCGCGTAAAAAAAACCACGTAAAAAAAAACCGTGTAAAAAAAAACGCATAAAAAGCGACTCCAGTGTATATGCATACACTGATGACGAATGATTATACCTCGGATTATAGGGCTTTTAAAGTCTGACGCAGATCTGACCAATTTTGATGCTAGGGAAAATAATACTCAATTACTAGACTACTTATTATTGTTCTGTGTGGAGCATGTAACGATATATGCATGCTTACTCATATCCGTTGTGACATTGTCTGGTTTGAATACGGTAAGTGTACCAGTTACTGCAAGGACATCAGTTTTGGTGCTCTGTAAATTATGTAACACCGAACATTTTGATGGTGAATTGCTTTCCGAATTAAAATATACAAACGCTTACGTGGACACCGAAATAGCTTTCAAAAAGCCCCAATACCCTAAATATTTTACAAACCAGCCTGGAAACTCCAACCAGAGCCATCAAAACACCAAAATGACCTTAAAAACGTCAAATTGGTCTGAACACGCCAAAATATGCCCTTAGTAACAACCAAATAGCCCAAGCAAAATTTTTGTTTTTATTATGGTCTTCAAATCCTTCGCCTTATACACTTATTCAAAGCCACGATAAAACCGAAAACGTTACTTGGGAGGCTAAATTAATCAGGTTTTCTTTAAAAACGTGAAAATTACCTTAAAACGTAAAAAACATCTAAAAATGCTTAAATGTTCAGAAGAACGCCATGTTTGAAGATGAACTAGCCTTTGACTAAAAATCTAGTCAATAAAGTTATAAAATAAAACTTTAAAACGCCAACATTCGGAAAAAATGGAAAGGTTGCTGAAAAGAAACATGCTGAAGTTTAGAGCGTTGCAAAAAGCGTTTGAAGTATAGGCGATATCAAGCTGTCAAATTTTACTGCCGGCTGGGTCAGGGGAAATTTTAAATTTGAGTTTGACGACAAATGTGCCCGCATGCTTAAGATGCGGCACAATACTTGAAGTTGTGATTGATAATCGAAGTTTTCGTTACTTTAACGACTGTGACATATTAAATTTACGAAAAAGAGCAGTGGCGTAGTTAGGGTTTGCTAATCCATGAAAATGACGCCCTTTTCTTTATTGATCAAATCGGACACCAGGTTCTTTAATAGACGGGAGGATAATTATTTGTTTTTGGATTCTAAATATTACTACACGTTTGGGATTATACATTCTAGATACCCCCAGACAGAGTTGGAAAGCGCCTCAGAGCGTTTGCAAAGCAACTTTATGCATGAGCATGGGCATGATTGACAGCCCGTGGATGCAGTTCCATTATTTCCAGATCACCTGTAATTACACAGAGAACCAATAAACACTTTTTGGGACTAGCAATCATTCTCAATGTGTAAATACTGGTGGTGTAAAACTAGGCAATACCAGCGCCGGCCACGTCCGAATGATGGTCAAGAAAGGAATGGGTAGGAATATGTTGTCGCAATACTCGCTTTAATGAAAGCCGAGAACGCCTCTGCACGCCCACGAGAAATCAATGGGATGTTGGATAACAGGGTTGGATTGCACCAGGATCCGTTTTGGTAAAGAATGTGCTGATTTGATGTCTTAAGATGTAAGATGTATAACAGTGTACAATGCTGAATAAAAAGAGTTGTCGAATTATGTGCTGAAAAAGCTCATTGAGATCGTTAGATGCACATTTATTCCACTGTTTGCTCTGATCTGATTAATCAACTTATTCAAATCTGTAAAAGTGTTAAATGTCTTCCCAATTCACCGCCAGAAGTTCGATCTAATAACAAACTGAATAAGTGTAATTTGTACATACATTGACACTTTAATTCGCCTTTTTTCAATTGATTTAATAACATGCTTTATTAGACGTCTAATAAATGTAATAAATGTTAAAATGATTTCATTGCATTACTTTACAATATTGCTGAATAAAGGTGAATACAGTCAGCATAATAGCTCTTATACCACTATGCGTCCATGTTGTAATCACATGATTTGTAAATGCTTTATAAACGACGTATTATATTCATTATTCGACAACACTGATTCAGTCTTACAACAAGGCGAAATCAGTAGAGTAGTGGTTACCGTTTCTGCTTTCCAATTAGAAGGTCGTGAGTTCAATCCCAAGCTCAACCGTTTTTTTTTATTTGTGTAGAACAAAATTAATTTAAATAGTAATCATCGATCACATGACTCACGATAATGAATGCATTGATCTAGTTTAAAATATAACCGAACATCCTTTCTTTCGACTTGAAGATGTGAAGAGGCAACATTGATCTCATTTAAAACAACGATGAATGAATTAATCATGCCCACAGGGCCTTGAAGGAGCTAGAGTTGCGATCGGGAGTGATGATAGGTATTAACTTTCATGCAAGCTTTTATAGATTATTGAGTTGCCCATATGATGAATTCTAGAATAGCTCAGATGACAAGGCAAGCGTCTGGTTATCGAAAGGTACATGGTTCGAATCCCCATTCAACGACACGTATAAGTATTTAATAAATTTTCTAATATCTGTGTGGTGCGAGCCACGTTAGAAATAATGAAATACAATGCCCTTAAGAAACACACCCTTCCCTGCCCCTTCTTATTTTCGGGTTAATTTTCCCACAGTTGAATAATCGTTTAATAAATGTATAATAATATCTAATTAAACGTTACTTCACATGAGAATCAAGCGTATACAGAGCATCACTGTTTTAAGGAAGCAGTGATGTCTAATAAACGCTGAATAATCAAAAATTTTATCGTATAAGCTCTGTTACAACTCACATAAGTCGAATAAAAGCTTCTCAACATACCTTATACAACACCAGTAGTTCAATGTTGTGGTTGAATAAATTCTCCAGATTTGTGTGAACAAAGCCTGAACAGAAGTTATTATTAAAAATAGTACAAGTACTATCAAGCATGCAGTTGAATAAAATGGCCAAGAAGTAGTTTCTTCAATAGACGATTGTTTGTTGGGAAAGACGATTTAAAGTATAACCCTGTAATGGGAAGGAGCTTGGGATTAAACCCATGATTTTCTGCTCAGCAAGCAAAATCGGCCGTCACAAGCCCACCGAGCTCCTTATTTCACAAAACAATAACGAACAAGCTCCTGTTACTACGGTAAAAACTTCTCTTGAGAAGAATTTGTCATAGATTCCGATCAACAAGTCTTTCATAAAACTTGAATTTTAATTCTTTTACGATCTTTTTTACTCTATAATGTAAAGGAGCTTGAGATTGAACCCATAATATTCTGCTCAATAAGCAAAATTTGTCACCATAAGGCCACCGAGCTCCCTATATCACAAAAACTACAATCAAGTTCCCGTTCAACTTGCTGTTACTAGATTTCGGTCCTGGTGGCGACATCACAGACGACGAGAACAACTGCTCTTGAGAAGGATTTTATATGGGTTACCGATCAACACGTCTTAAACAGACGATTTGCTATTCAGCAAAAAAAATGGCAGCCATCAAGCTAGCCGAGCTCGAGACGTTAGTAGGTAAATATTGAATTAAGTTTAAGCAAATAAATGGAAAGGATCTCGTCAGAATGATCTGTAATTAGCAAGCCTCCAAATATTTCATAAGCTTAAAATCAATTTCTTCCATGTTCATCCCTTAAAAATTATATATACATGTTGAAAAAAAGTTATCAATATCGCGTCGTTACTTCTATATAAAAAATACTGAATAAGATTTCAAAATTTCACGCGCAACAACTTTTACCCTTCATCGACACGATGTAAAACTCGCAATTTAGGCCTTAATTAAGGAGATAAACACGATTAAAGATTTCGAGCACCTAAGCACCCCTTAAATCATGATTTAGACTTTAATTAAAGAGATAAACGCGATTAAATATTTCAAACCCTCAACCGCTCAAATCGCGATTTAGGCCTCAATTAAGGAGATAAACACAATTAAACTTTTTTTTACGTAGGGCTACGTCTGTGATTTCTGTATGGGGGTACACTTTGTGAAAACCAAAAATGTAACATGTAACGAAATTATGAAAGATTTTGAACGTAAATAATTCAGCTGCCCCTGGACCAATTTCAATAATTAATAATTGAAAAAAAATGGTGAATGTCAGGCATTGTCCAAAAGCGTCGAAATAATTAACAAATCCTCCAATTACGTACATGCATATGATGCTTCCCCAACACAGTCATCAGAGAATCGTTTCTAGAAGAAATATGTCGATGTAGCATTACTGCTTCCCCAACACTGTCACCAGATAGTCGTTAGTATACTAAACAAGTCGAAGTGGCATTCGCCTCCGATTTTCGGGCGTGTGTGAATAGGGAGGATGCAATTACTAACATTTTGCACGCTCATCGCCATATTCAGAAACACAGAAAATGCTCTCCAGAGTGGAAGTGGGGGTGCAAGTGATTTTGATCTATTCTCTTCATCGACTTTCTGTTTCGTTAATAACTTGACAGCAAACACATTCATTG